GGGAAAGACTTTGAAACCGACGAGGAGCGAGAAACAAAAAAAAAATGTGGCGGCGGTCGTCGCGCCATTTCACGCGCAAAAATCCATCCCCGTAAATGTCGTTGATTTAAAGTGGACGATCGGCCTGGATCCGCTGGGATCCTCGTGTGCGCACGATCCGGTCCGATCAGGTATATACGGTTGATCCTCGGGCCACCAGAACGGTATATTTCTCGTCATGTATAAAAGTACAGCGAGTGGCGGCGGGTGGCGGCGATAGAAAAGAGGTTGTAACTGTGGCGAGGCGCAGTCCCGCTGCGGTCGGGGGTGCAGCTATCGGCGCAGGGCCGTACGCATCCGTGGGCGACGCTCCACGTGGAACTGACGCTACTATCCTCCTCGCGACGTCCGTCTTGCATGTTTTGCCAGAAGCGATTCGACGACGAATCATTGGCTTAGTTTCTCGACCAATACGAACAACAAAAATTCGTTTCGAATCCGAGTTTTTTTCGTGATTGTGGCGGGCTGTCTCGCGGGTCTATTTTTCTTGTGATTCTTCGAGTCGGAGCGGTTCGGCATCGCGCCGCCTACGAGTCGTCCATGAATGAGCAGCCAACGAGTGACGCGTGTGTGTTTTCCGTAATTGCCTTTCGTGCTTGATCGCTCCTCGACATATCCACACTGGTAAACCATAGTGTGTGTCCATTGTGTCCGCGGCGCCACGCTTTCTGCTCTGGACACGCTGGCAATCGCGACTTTCCACACAGTGTTTCGCCGCGCTGCTGCTCGTCGAACCGGTAGCGGGGGTGGGTGGTTCGAAAAGGAACCGTCTGGTGTTTTGTCGTTGTTTCTCTGTCGTTTCTGGCCGGGGTGTGAGTGAAGCGTGTTCGATTGAAAGTCGAAGGGTAGGAGGTGTGCCAGGTATAAACCCTGGAGGTATATTTGGGAGAGGGGAGACTTTTCGTTGCAGTTGTGCGTGATTGTTCGCCTCGGTTCGGATTCAAATCGCGAGTGGTGCGTTTGTGTCTCTCTTTTCGTGTATATACCGCGTCTGCCTGCATGATTATATACCTCGTGTTGTTTACGAATTTCATCGTCATCACGTTTCTGCTGCACGTCGTGTGTGTGTATATGTGTGTCTCTCTCTCTGTGTGTGTGTATACACACGACGTTGCTTGCATGCAACAGGCGACACCGCGTTGCCAAAGTTGCCTCTTGATTAATCGATCGGAAATTACAGTCGGGTCCTGCGTGAATAACTCTCAGGGATTCGAATTAATCGCGCGCGGCCTGCTGCCGGCAAACGCGACAACGAGGATCGAGAGAGAAAGAGAGAGAGAGTGAGGAAGAGAAGCTTCAAGAAAAGCGTGGAGAAGAGCGCGACACGCATTGGCGTAGCGGCGAGGGAGCGTGGCTCTCGAGTCTAGGGAAAAATTGCTGGAAAAGTTTTGGGGTGCACGCGCAAGGAATATCAGGGTTGTAATTACGCGAAGGTAGCGCGACGGCTTAGAATCAATACGAACGGATTACATCGTCGGCAGGTTCGACGGGGATTGAGGTGAACTTTGGAAAAACCCCGAAAAGGGGGGTTAAAGACGATAAATAAGTCTCTCTCTCTCTCTCTCTCTCTCTCTCTCGATCAGTCAATTTTTCCATCGATCGAATCGTTGAGCACGGGACGAACGAAGCCAGAAAAACCACAAGCATCATCACGGTGGTGCCACGAGTGGGTTCATGGGGTGGTGTGCTCCGTTCGGTGTGTTTGGGCGGGGTGACAGGCACTCGTTACCGCCGCGTCGTCACATGCGGCCGGTTTGCTAAAAATGGCAGCTTCGTTCGGGCTCCACGCGTGGAATAACAATTATTGGCTACGACCAAGAAAGAAATCCAGTTGACACCGGGGCGCGGGCAGCTACAAACGGGACAGTCAGTGCCGAGCACGTGGTCCGTTAGGGGAAACCAGATATAGCAGTGCTGCTAGTGGTTTGCCACCCCCTGAGGTGTGTGTGTTGACTAACTACATCCCTGGCGCACGTGCGTACGTGTATTTCCTCGAGTCGTCGTCGTCGTCGTCGTCGTCGTCGTCCGTGTCCCCGCGTTGTCGTCGTCATAGGCTGGTGCACGTGTGAATGACAAATCGCGAGTGAAAGTGCGGTGGAGAAGACTAGTGACTTTTTTTTCGTGTCACTGCACGACCTGGCTTTTAATCGCGCGAAAGCTGTCCCCATTGACAGCTGAAAAACATTTGACGTATTCTGGTGTCCGCGGTGTCGGGGGGCATCCTATGCGTTATGCATTCTACCGTGCACGTTCACGTTAATTACAAATATATGACGGGTCGACAAGTTTGAACGATGGACAGAAAGGTTTTCTCCAGCGATTCTAACGATTAAACGGCTGCCCCCCCCCCCGTGTCTCTCTACTCACCGAGTTAAGAGGAAGGTAAATACCGTACGGCGTGGCGCCACCTGCGCGCTACGTCCCTGGGACAGCAGGCTGTCTGTTGACTCTGGTGGTGTTTATTCGCGCTTGTTCCTATTCTCTCTCTCTCTCTTGCACCGGGCCATTTGTGTTTGGAGGAGATCCGTGAATTTTGTTGCAATGTGACGCCAAGATGAATGAAGATTAGCGTGATGTCGGACCAGTGCACGCGCCTCGCACCGGGTGCGCGCCCGGATCTCGACAGGAAGCCTCGTGAAACGTCTTGAAACTGGTTGAAAATCAGCGTTGAAAATGCCGGCAACGCGACCGTACAGGTGCCCATTGTTGTCGCTAGATCACAGACTTTTTCACGAGACTGCGAGTCCGGACTCAGAAACAAACACACGAATCGTGTACCGTACGTTTTGAGTGACCCCGCAACCCTGAGACTCGCGTATCGCGTTCCGACCGCGTTATAGGTTAGGTTGCCGGTACATAACCTTCAAGGGATCGGAGCGAGTGTTCACCGAGCGTCGCAAGACCGACGAATACGCGGATTCCAGGCGGTTTTAACGGAACACCGTGAACCTGAAGATATCCTGCTAAGTGCTGATTCCTGCCACAGTGGGTGATCGGTGCTATGGAATGAGTTGGGTGACCACAGGACAATGAAGGCCAATGGGACAAATAATGGTGATTTCTGTTTATTTCTTGGTTTATGTAGATTTGTCGGTGAATATTGATCTTTGTGTTGTTCTATGCTATAATGTAATGAGAGTAACGGGAGATAACAATAAGAATCTGTGAAGGTATTGTTTACATTGATTAGATGTAGTCTTTTAATGATCGTAGAAAGAGTGATAATGAGCATTTGCAGTACATGTTAACAGATGCGTATTAGACTTTATTGACTGCTCCATATGCGTCTATGAAACTTAAGGAAATACAGTTATAGCTTAAACATGCAGGAGAAAACTAGTATAGGAAAGTGATTGACATTTATTTCATATGTTGTAGCCTTGAGGTCATAAATTTAATAGAAAAATGTAGTTACTACAGCAAAATCCTTTTGAATACTATGTTGTAGATATTATGTGTTTGCTTTTTTTGAAAGTCATCTACAATTATAATGATAAATACTTATTCGTATCGATTTTAATAAGCAGGATATATTTCTTTAATTAAAATTATATGTAGACAGAAAGAAAACTTAATTTCATCATTGAAACCACTCCGAGCAACACAATTCCATCTATACATTCATAAATTCTCAGTGGTCAAACTGCAATCGAGGGACACATTTTAGTCTCCATAATTATTGTTGATATAACATCACCCAAATGCATTTACTGTTATTATTCCTGCATCTATACATACAGCGTACAGATTTGAGCTCAGTAAAATTGAGTTTATATGAAAAAACAGAAGCATAGATTTTGCACAAAGGTCATTTTTACAGATACAGTTAGGCTCTATCGCATAAATCATGACTCCAAAAATGTTCAATCATAACGAAATCATTATCATGTCGATTCCAGGCTGTAGCCGCCTAAACACGCCATTGGCAGCCACCACCACGCTGGAGGATCCGGGAACACCAGCCTCTTGGAAGGGCCCGCCACCCGGCTCGGAGGCGTCGCCCTTTACACCGAACTCCGTTGGCCAGGGTGGAGGTCCAGGGTCCGGTCCCTATAATAGCACAGGCGGTCCACCGAGCAATGCAGCCTTCCAAGGTCCGAGTCCGTTTCCTGGTGGCGCTGGTAGTCCAGCAGGCGCGCCACCATATCAGGGACCACCACCAGGTTCCGCGACACCTCAATACACCGCCTCGCCGGCACCAAGCGGTTCCTCGACACCCGGTCCAGGACCACCTCCGAATTCCGCGGGTTTCCCACCGCCGCCGAACAATTCCGGGCCGCCTTACAATGGGCCCGGCCCAAGCCCGTTTGGCTCGCCATCTGGCGGGCCGCCGCAATTCGTCGGTAGGCCCGGTTCTTCGGGACCTCCGTTTGTACCCCCGGGAGCCGGGAATCCTCATTTTCCGTCTCACGGTCAACCATTCGGCGGACCCCAATACGGAATGCCACCCGGTAGCCCGTTTGGACCTGGTCACCCGATGACAGGACCAATTGGACCCGGTCATCCAGCGATGATGGGACCCGGAGGACCTGTGGATAGGATGGACCAGGGGTGAGTCTTGAATGTGTTTTATTTTTCGAACGATGGAAAGTTTTCGAGCTTATCTTGTCCTTTTATGTAAAGGTATATCTTTCTTTGATATTATTATTATTATTCTGTTAAGAATGTAAATTCGTAGATCCAGGACAAGCATAAGATTCGGAAACATTCGACCGGGTATTTATGCTATTCTCTTCGGTCACATGTTACCTCCGTGTAAAGTACATGGTCTTGTTTTAGAAGAACTATTAGAAACGTGTGTCTACACGAACATTAACGTAGCTTCTAGTATTTTATATCATTCGGTAGAGCGTGGGTAACATAGAACGATAGAATACCGTAGTTTCATTATTTCTGCATGCTTAAGAAGCCCCGATCGCGCAACTCAAGTTCGTACCGGTAATCGAATCAGAATGGAGAACGTTATGCGCGCGGCAGCGATACCCACGAGCGTTGACAGATCCTTCGATCGTCGTACCTATTCTGAAACGCGACGCGATCGGTGTTCCATCGGCGTGGAACCTCGTGTACTTGCTCGGGAACGTACGTACAATATAAGGGCGCGGTGGATGTTAGACATCGTTAGGCCGCTGGCATTCCTAGATAACATGGTCCACAGGTAGCCACTGTTATTTATCACTGGTCTCCCGGTTGGTCCGCATTCTTGCCGATAATCCTGGTCGCGGGCAGGACTACGTTTTCTGCCCTTTACGATCGGCTGTTCCCGACCGTTCACTTGGTCGTCAATGTTTCTCCCGTGGTCGGACAACTCGTTCTTGAAATCGGTTACACACGGACCGAGGTTGTCGGAACGCTCCGACGCGATAAAAGCTACAGATGTTTCGGAGTATGAGGGTTGTCGGATGCCCGTGACCTTCGATGGTTCAGTTAGAGATAGGAATGAAAGCTACGACATTCGAACGGTAGTACCTGCATGCTACAGCCATTTGTCTGTGTTGGACCCTCTTAGTCATTTTGAATCATGTCTGATGTCTCTCGGATTGTTAAGTATATTCGGCAGAAACTGAGTGTATCGGGTCTATTAACGATTTATTGGGCCTTATACTTTCAGTGTATAAACATACGTACTCATATTACACTCAAGTCGATTCGGAGCGAAAAAATTCAATTCCATTTTCCAGGTATCGTAAAACGTTCGCTCTTCCTTCACAAGCAACAACTTAATAGATTGAAGATAAACGTTTTCCTCTTTTTCGCTGCCAAAACGTTGTCTTCGTTAGTGCCAAGCGTCGCGAAAACGTATTGTTGTTAAGTGGCCCTTTTTTTGCAAACTGAGCATGTTAGATCGCCTGTCGCAGACGAAACCTGTAATGAACGGCGCCAACGAGGGGGAGGGACATCTCTCGATGTTAAACTTGGCAGCCGTGTCAGCGAGTTTCTGTATCGCGATCTAGATTATCGATACGTGCGCTGAAAAATCGGTTCTCGCTGAAGCCGTATATACGAACCAGTTTTCACGGAATACATAGAGTCCTCTGCATCAGGCGCCTCTAATGGCGTTGACTGGTTTTGTACATCGAGCGAGGGGGCGGTCAGTAGAACGTTTTTTCTTTTGTTTTTTTTTCTTTTCGAAAACAGGAACTCAAACTAGGAATAAGGAAAAGAACAGCTTGCGACTCGTGTAAGAATTTCTTCGACGAGATCCGTGGAGATACCGAGCCCGGGGTCGGCGACAATTTTTAGACGCGCGATACGCGCCAAACGTCTGCGTATCTATACGCGCGTGTGGGCGGGCACCACGAATTCCTCACGCGTTGCGTTTACACACGCGTGTGTTCGAATTTACAGGCGGTTTAAATCTCGGTGAACTACCGGGAGAACCGATCGTGGAAGTGCGGGAGAAAGCTGATCCGTAGTATCGGCCGTGTGTACACGCAGCTTTCAGCGTTTTACAATTCGTGGCACAACCGCAGACGTGGTTGTCGGTCGAACTTTCCCGTTCGAAATAGAATCGTCGGTTTGGCTACACGGTATCTGTTAATTGCTACGCGCGTTTATCGGATCAGATAAGGTTACGGAGGGGTTAAAGAAATTTATTCAGAAATCCACCATTACACCGGCCCAACCCTTCTCTGAACCCTAAAAATCAATCGGTGCAGTCCGAATGGTTCGACATTTTTCGTTTTGGAATATGATTGACGGGTAAAATTAGGCATCGCCAAGTCAATACATCACGTTTGTAATTGATACGGCATCAAAAATATATTGCCAGACGTAATCACGAGGAGACGAAGGGTAAAGAAACTTCCAACGAGGGGCGGGGGGAGGGGGTTCGTTTGGTACACGCGTGAACCGCATAAACAACTAGAGCCCCCGACTTAACGAGGATTTATAAAACGACGGCAGTGATAAGATCGTGGTGCGCGCAACTCTCCTAATATGAATTTTAATTTCTGTCAGGCTTTAATTAACCCCCGCTAGCCCTATAATTTTCACGACGTTGAATAATTGTCTACCTGTCGCAACTTAGTTCGCGCTTCTTCCTCCCCCCATCCCCGTCTCTCTTGCCGCGCCGCCAGGTTCCCTTTCCCGCGGGAAGTGCACTACGCCTGGCCCCTCGAAGAAATTGCAGTAAGATAAATTAGCGAGAATGAAGTGGACCCTCTCCGTTCGTGCAGTCTGTTTCTCCTTTGTGCCGGTTTTTTTTTATTACTTATTTCGTATTCCTTTTTTCTGTGTCTATTCTCTGTGTTCCTCGTTTCTGTTAAGTTGTAACCAATGACGGCGTGTTGTTCGGGGGTTGTCTCGTTGGAGGTGTGGGGGGTTGTAGTAAGCGGTGTTACGCTCTTGGCAGGGATTGTATCGCGGTAGGTGACGCCATACTTTTGTTGGAGGTAGTACGCGACCCACCTCCCCTTTTCTCCCTAAACCCTCCTTGCCACCCCGTGTTACGGAGGGCGGGTGAACCAACGAGTAGAGCGAGAGAGAGGGTGGCGACTGGGGGGAGAGGGGTTGGGGCCATCGGGGTGGCACGAAGGTTCTCATATTTCCTGTATTTTAATTTTTCACGGTATCTAGCACGCGCCCGCTGTCTGAAAATTATTTGTCACCCGACGTTACTTCGCCGCTCCGCTACCGCACGCTTCGACGCCCCCCACTCGTTCTCTCGCGATTCCTCGTACGAGACGCCGTCCAAGGACCCGGCGACAACACGATCGACACAACGTGACTCGCCGGATCGATAGAACCGCACGTCGAGGACACGCTCAAAATCGTGACATCGCAAACGGAAGTTTTCATTCTCGCGCAACTCTGACCGGTTCGAATCGTTCGTTGGCTTCTGTTGTAATATAGATCCGTTTGATCTATAGAACCGATCATCGACTGTCGATTCGATAATCCTTCGAAACAGACGGTACCAGTCGAAAGTCGATTCTTTTCAAGCTCCGTGACTTTAACAGAATCATAGTTTTGTGTTTTCCATGAAACAATGTAATCAGGGCCGGATCGAGACACTTAGAGGCCCTAAGAAAGGCCTTTCGAAAACACTAGAGTCTCTTTTCGTTCAACCTCGTGCCACCCCCAAAAAATCGACAAATAAGGGTGTTTCTGGCTCGAGATCGATGTTAAGCAACCGTCCGGGGGCAACTTTTTTCCCGTCAAGCGCGTTGGAAAAAAGTTCGTTGAGAACCACTCGAGCCTCGTGCCCCCCTCCAGTTGTACCTCCTTGGTTCTCGGGGTTTGGGGTTGGGAGCAAAAGAGGGGCGGACGTAGGGTGGGGGAGGGGAGCTCTGTAGGTGTAGGTAGAGAGAACCGTGGATGGGGTGGCGATCCGTCGGGTCGGGGTTCCAGGCGGGCTTCGCTCTCGTGCGTCCGCCGCCACCACCACCGTTTACACTTTCGCGTGTAAAGGGGATCTCGGGAGACCCAGAACGTCGGGATCGCGCGGCGTGCGTTTCGTTACCCCGTTTGTCTCAGGTCGTGGTCGGACCGCGGTTCCACGCTGTTACTCCTGGAACGTTTGAGAAAACGAGCACTAGGAAATTTCGTATCGCTTTATAGCGGACCGGTTGGCCACAAGTAGGGTTTGTTTATACCGCCCCGTTTCTAGGACGGGCCGCCGTAATTGATTGGTGCCTCCCCCCTCCTCCTCCCTCTCTGTGGAACAGTCGAGTGTCGACCCCTGTATAATGCCTTGCAATTGCTCGTGTCGCTGTTGGGATAAAGTCGTTGGTAACTTTTTACAAGGAAAGGCACGGAAGTGTCCCCCTCCGATTTTGATGAAACTTCGTATGTCTGTTAAGCAGTCAAAAATAAGAGATACGTATTTTTTTTATCGGCTGAGATGCGACTTTAAGGGGTTGAACCATCCCTCGAATTTTTGATCCGAAATTTTTTTGTTATAAACAAATTATATTTTGGACAATTTGTTAGTACCATATTATTCTACATAAAAAACCACAAACCTCGTCCATTAGAAGTTTTCATGTATCTCCTCTGGTTTTCGAGATAGTACTTTCGGGTTGAAACTTCGAGGGGTGGTTTCACCTCTTAAAGTCGCGTCTCAGCCGATACAAAAATATACGTATCGCTTATTTTTGACTGCTTAATAGACATACGAAGTTTCATCAAAATCGGAGGGGGACACTTCCATGCCTTCCCTTGTTAGATTCGTGGGTACCAGAAAGAATCCCTATCACAACTATACCTTGTAAATGTCGAATAAGTAAGCCGGTGTACTAAGGGCAGAGGGGGTGGTAGATCTGGAAGAATATTGAACAGGTGGGATTGAGAGATGTTTTGCCTTGGATTTTCATGAGATTTTGAAGGATGAAGCTTGACATTGATTGGATCAGCCACCTTCAAGAACCAGAGTCCACTATTGTCTAGTGTTTCAGTAAATTTTGAAATGTTTCTTTTTCTGTGTATATCTCCACCTGTATTTCATTTTAACGTTAATTATCATCGTATTCGTTAATTCCACGGACGTGGTAAAAACGCGAACCGTAACTCCTACCTGGGAGTTGCGCTGTATTTATAATCTGTTCGTA